AAGTGAGGGTCCACAGGGCCTCTGGCGCCTGTCTGGGCATCACCAAGGCTGGACTACTCACGGGTGGGAGCACAGAGTGGTCAAGTGCAGAGGGCAGAGTCCTGGGGGGCCCAGCCGAGGCCTTTGGGGCCGGGGAGCCTGCTGCGTGGGCTCCCTCCCGAGTCTCCACAGGCTCTGGGCCGTGGAGGGCCTGGGGCGCCTGAAACAGTGGCACGAGGTGCCCCACATGGCATCTGGTAAAAACGACACGCTGGTGGAGGCACAGCATCCCCACTCAGACCAACCAGGGGACCACAGGCCCTTCCAGACCCAGGAGGAAGACAAAGGGTGGCAGAGAGGAGCCTTCCCAGCCCAGCTCTGGGTCAGACCAGCTGAAACCCTCAGCCGTCGTGCTGGAGGGGTCCCAGGCAGGACTGCCCTCCTCGTCTCCAGTCTCTCTGAGGGTGTAGGGGACAGTGGCCGCTCCTCCCTCACGTGGCTGCATGTGGCACAGGGGGACAGGTGCTCAGAAGGTGCTGGGCACAGACACAATACCGAGAGCGTGCCACACAGGGGCTGGTGGTTCTCCCACACCTGGGAGGGCAGCCTGCGGAACCAGCCTGATGCAGAGCACCAGACTGTCCCCCAGCCCTGAGGACCTCCCCTGGCAGGTGACCTTTGCTGGCAGGTGGCTTTGTCTGAGGTCTGGGGCTTCCCTGGAGGAGCCTCAGTCCTTGAACAGGCTCACAGTGACCCCTGCTGTCCGCCACTCAGAACTGCCTCAAACCACCAGCCAGTGCCACCCAGGAGGCCTGGAGAGGGAGCAGGGAGAGGGAAGGGCCTGGTTCCCAGGTCTGGGAAACTCCACCAGGACAATGCAGGGAGGGGACCCTGTAATTATGTTCAGGGGACACTAAGTCCTGAAATAGGCTAGGAGCTTGAGATCAAAGGAAGTCCTTCTGCCTTCACTGCCCGCCTTTGTTCCCCTGGATAAGTGTCACCTAGACGTACCATGGAGCCAAGAGGAACTGTGTTTCCCAGGGACATTATTTCCTGATCCACACAAGCTGTTAGCAGCCTGTGCTGATCTGGCGGGTCTTAAATTGGACTCTTTAAGCAGTAGATACCAAGAACTGCCCCAACGTGGCTCAGAACCGCGGGGACAGGCAGTATCCCTGCGGCCTGCACAGAGCCAACAGTGAGTCCAGCCTGATCTACCTGCTGCACTTCAGGGACGACTCCCCTCCTGGAATCCCCAGGCCTCGACCCTCCTACCACTAATGTGGCACTTAGCTCTCCTTCCTCGTGTCCCAACCTGGTCTCAAATGCTCAAGAACAGGGATGACAGGGGCGGAGCCGTGGGCCCCTGGGTCTTGCACTGGAGGCCTGACCCCAGGTGTCAGAATCTCACTTGAGACCAGCTCTTTGCATCAATAATCAAGTCAATCGAGGTCACTGGGGTGGGCCCTAAGCCAGAGCGACCGGTGCCCTTTAAAAGGTGTGTGGGGATGGAACCCAGGACAGGCCTACACAGGAAAGCCCCCTGTGGGCATAGGGACGCCATCACAGCCAGGGAGGGCTGGACAGGCCGCCCCTCCCCGCCCAGCCCTTGGAAGGAGCCACTGCTGCCAACGCCTGGCCTTGGGCTTCTGGCCTCCAGAACCCTAAGGCAGGCCATCTTTGCTGATGAAGGCCCCAGGCATGGCCCTCTGCTCCAGCAGCCTTAGCAGATGGAGGCAAGGGACTCTAACTTCTATGCCACAGAAGTGTCTGCTAAAACTCTCGGTGGCTGCCCACCAGGCTGCTGTCCAAACCTCTGCCGGGCACAGAAGCCACTTCTCAACGGGAGTCTGTCTCCCTTTCCAGGGCACCTCCCGCCTCAGCCTCTGCCACCAGGCTGCTTGGCCTCCTTGCCTCCAGTCTCCAGTCTGACTTGGAGACCACAGTCCTACCATGGCCCTCCTGCTACAGCCTCCTGTGCTGAAGCCACCAGGTCATATGTCCCCTGGCTACTGTGGGTGCCTAGGGACAGGGACCGCATCTCCTCTGGTCTACTGTCCTGGGTGCCCACTACCTGCTGGCCCAGGGCCTATTGGGAATGAAGGATCAGCAGTCACTGTGGCCACACGCACAGGCACCCAGGACGGTATGGGGCTGACTCACACTGCACCCCACCAATTCTGCACCCACCAATTCTGCAAGGCCAAGGGCTGCTGGACGGGACTGCATGTCTGTGAAAAGGACAAAGAACAGTCCCTGCTCATGCTCTGAAGAGTCAGGGCTGGACAACATGTGGGCAGAGGCCAACAGCGTCAGGACAAGGTCCAGGGCTGACGGAGGGGCCAGGCGGCCTGTGCCTGCCCACTACCTACTGGCCAGGGAGGTGCAGGATTACTGACGTGGTGGATTGTTCTAGAAGTTCCACATCGGGGTCATTTCCCTTGGAACTGAGGGAAAAGACCACAATCCATCCTTTTTTCTATGCCTGAGGACTTCCTGGGTGCCAAGGCATGGGAACAAGGGAGGCCTTGGGTGCTGATGGGTGCTGCTGCTGCCCACCACACACACAGCTCAGGACCACCGGAGGACCTGCGAAGGCTCTCAGAGCCTGGGCCAGGGACCTCTCCAACAGCACGGCAGGGGTCTCCAGGAGAGGAGGGGCTGTTCTGCACAAGCCTGCCCCCACCCCCAGGTGTGGTCTCCCAGAACCGCGTCCTTCCAGGAGAACAGGGTACCTGCTTTGTTTTTCTTCCTGGAGATGGAGCAGCTCCTCACGGCCCCCACTTTGGAGAACACCTGGAAAGAGGAACACGCAGCCCCTGCACTTCCAGGCCCTCCAGCCACCCGCATATGCGTAGCTCCTTATGGGAACGGGGAGCAGGGGGCATGCAGACTGCCACTAGGTGCTGCTCCCAGTGCGCTGGCCTACGCCAGGCCCGCAGCCCACCCACCCATCCAGTGACCCCAAAGGCAAATTCAGATGGGTGACTGAGGGCCTGGAGACCTCGGCTGCCAGTCAGGCTCTGAGCCACCACGCAGCCCTGCCCAACACTGTCCTCCCAAGTTTGCCATGTGGAGACCTGGGTCGCTCTGAGGGGGAGAGTGATGGCGAGTCCTGCAGGCCTCCCGAGGGGAGCTAGGCTGGTTCTTGCTCCACTTATAGAAGGAAGAACTGGGGCACGGAGAAGTTGAGGGGTTCACTGCAGAAGCCGGGTGTCAGTCTGGACACATGGAGCCTACTGACCCCAGGTCTGACCTCAGGCCTGACCTCACTGCCCTCTGTTTTTTTTTAATTATTTTGGCTTTAAGCACAAACAACAACAACAAAAACCCTCTAAGTCACATCCCACCCTGTATTTCCCTTTCCCTTCTGTCTCCCTGGGGCCCGGCTGGGGCCAGCTCCACTTGGCTCTGTCTGCATCTTGAGGACCAAAGACAGGCAGGCACTCAGTACCGTCCACCAGGCGAGCGACGGGGAGCAGGAGGAGTGGGGACCCCAACGCACACACTTGCAGCAGGCAGGTGCATCAATCATGGGGCCTTGTACTGCAGGGTCTCACTGTCCCAGTCAGACCTTCAAACTACCCAATGGGAAGCTTCTACTCATGTCTCATGACCTAGGCACAGACAGGCTACAGGACTCACCCACTGGCAGGAGTGAGGCCAGGATCCAGACCCAAGAGGACTGACCCCAATCACGGCTCTACACTCAGGTGCTGGGACAGGAGTCCTGTGCGCTGGGTGTGCTTCTAATGAGCTGTGTGACCTCAGGACAGTGAAGCAGCCTCTCTGAAGCTCAGTCTCCAATCTGAACTAGATGGTCCTGGCTGGGCCTTCAGCTCCAGGGCCTTTACTCCTGAGGATGCTCTTGAGCTGCTGTTTGCGCATCACTGAGAAACGCTGATCCCTGATGTCCCACACCACCCCAGGAGTGACCATGACACAACAAGGACCACAGCTGGCCCGAGAGACTCAAGGCCACCTGCCTGAGACACTGCTAGCTGCACCTCCAGAGGCCAAGCCAGGCATGGATATCCGTGGCTGAAGGGCGGACTGTGGCACACAGGCAGATCCAGGCTCAGGCTTCATTACAATCAGGCGCGGAATGTGCGTGCTGCCCCCTCCGGGCTCCCGCGGCCGCCGGCAGGGCTGTTATCAGTCGCCAGCAGCTTTCCAGGACCCCCCCACCAGGAGCCCTTTATCTGGAGGCGCGGGTCTTGGTGGTGGGGAGATAACACGGCCGCCCCCCTGGAGACCAGAACAGAGAGCTGCCAGAGCTGCCCTCCTGCCCCGCCCAGCCCAAGACATGGCACCTGGTCCCCCTCCTGTCATCCTGGGGAAGATGACATCTGGAACAACAGGCAGAGAGCGGGGTGGGGAGATGCAGGGGAGAGGGCACAGCTCAGGGGACCAGGACTGGGGGTCATGTAGGCAACATGGTCAGAAGAGAAAGACGGGCTCAGGGCGCTGACCCAGGAGGTGACGTGAGCCCAGCGGGTGGACGTCGCACCACGTCCTGGAGCAGATCCAAGCTGAGGCGTCCTCTGTTAGCCAGTGAGCAGAAGCCAGCCCCTCCAAGTGGCTGGACACTGTCAGGACACTCCACACCGACCTGAGGACAGGGGACAGGGCCTCAAAACCAACTGGGGGACCGGGGACAGAGGAGCATTCTGACAGGGTCCAGACACGGGTGCCAAGAAGCCATTGTTCATGCTCTAGAGCCTGTCTGCCCCCAAGGCCCCCCTCTGACACTACCTGTGACCAGCCGAGAGATGCTGGGGACAGTCATGCCACGCCTGTCTTGGTCACCATGGGCAGCAGCCACCAGTTACAGACAAGTGTTCCCACCATGTGGGGGTGTTGGTGGCCAGTAGGCTGCATCTCCCGCGTCCTCAGGAGGGTGTGTGGGCACCACTCTCTCTGTCGGGGTCAGAAACAGCCTGAGAGGACGCAGTCAGCCCAGTCCCAGAGCGGGGGCCAAGGACGGCACTGCCCACGTCACCAGCATGGCGGCCAGTTCCCCAGCAGTGGCTCCTGAGTGGAAGGACGTGGAGGGCAGGCCAGCAGGCAGGGAGCAGGTGCCACTCTGCCCTCTGTCACTCCCGGGGCCTGGCACTCCGCAGGGTGCTGTGGTCAGCAAGGCAGATGCTGCTGTGGAGTGGACCCTCTGGTGGGAACAAACTCAGGCAGCAGCCAGCCGCGAGGGGTGGTCACCTCACGCGGCACAGACGGCCAGTCCTGAAGACCCACGGGGAGCGGACATGAGCCGCAGGCATGGCGGAAGGCCTGTGCTCAGAGAAGGCCGCAGAATCCAACCGACACTGGCTGACCAGAGACGACTCCTCCTCTACTTTTTTTTTCCAAACCGTAAAACACTTTAATTTTTTGTAAATATATTAGAACAACGAGGGTGGTAAACAAGAGACAGTCTATCTTTAAGAGGAAAATCCTTATCCTAGTAAACTGAGCAACTGGAAGCCCTGTGTGGCGGGGGTGGGCCGAAGGTAAAATCTGAACATCTGGGTCAAACAACCCAGTCCTCAGAACCTCCCTCCAGGTGTCTATTCTAAGACGTGGTCGTGGTCTCCAGACTACGTGGTTCCATGGGAAGCTGCCTGTCTCCTAGGGGCAGCTGGGGGACGGGGAGGGTCTCAGGTTTTGGCATCCTGACGGGCGAGGGCCAGGGCCAAGCCATGACCTGCAGTGTGCACCACAGTCCTGAAGGAAAACCTCATCCTGCCTCAAATGCCCCACTGTGAGGGGGTACCCAGGGGGCTGGCACCCCTGTGGCTGGGGACACACATTGGTCTTTCCTTTCCTGCCTGGGCAGTCGCTGGACATCAGAGGGCACTGAGCCACTCCAGAACAGGCTCCCCAAACCCTCAGCCACCAATGGAGCTCTGGGCTTTCATGGGCTCTTCTGGGTATGAAGAGATCTAGGTTTTCTTCCCTTAACCATTAGGTGACAAACTAAAAATATGCTACATTACGGTGCACTCGTGATTCTGATCTCTTTTTTTATGGTACCAGGAAATGCATTCAGGGGTGTTTCACCACTGAGCCCCAGCCCAGCCCTATTTTGCATGTATTTAGAGACAGGGTCTCACTGAGGCTGCCTCTGAACTCAGGATCCTCCTGCCTCAGCCTCCTGAGCTGCTGGGGTGACAGGCGTGGGCCCCTTCACCCGGCTCTGATGCTGTTTTTCAGGGATGTTTTAACACCTGCATAATCAGAGACCGAGACCCGCTGGTCTGTGGATGAACAAAGCCGTAAAGCAGCGGTCTGCTGAACTGCTCCTGGCTCTCTGCCCACCCCTCGCCAGCCTGCCCACGACATTGACCTGTTCTTGCCGGTTTCTGGCTCCACCATGTTCTCTCCCACAGATGCTTCTTGGGCTCTTTCCCCTGAGGGGCTGTGCTGGAGAAGACGCCAACTGGAGCCCACTCGAGATACAGGGGGACATGGTGGAACTGCAGAGCCAAAGGTGCCAACACTGTGGTCCCTGACACGGGACACAGCTAAGAGGGACTCAGTCCCATGTGCAGAATACGCGCCCCAGGGTGGAGAAGATGGGTGCTCGGCAGGGCAGAGGAGCCAGGAGATGCGCAGCCCAGAACCCCAAGTGCTCTGGGTGCCTGAGGAAAACACTCGGGCCCAGGCTGAGAGGCAAAGGCCACGTCTCTGTCGCCTTGACCTGCGATGGGTTCCAGGTGCCCTGGGTGCTTTCTCTAGTCAGAGGATGAAATGGGGACTGTGACAAGGGGAGGAACTGCTGGCACAGGGCAGCTCCAGGGCAAGTCAGCAAGTCACAAAGCCAAGAGCGTTCCTGTTGCCTTTCAGAGGAGACCTGTGTGCCAGGGGTTTCTTAAAAAAGGTTGAGACAGCCACTGCTAATAGCCACCTCAGTAGAAGGCCCCTGGGTAACTACAGGGCAGGGTGGGAGGGAGACTTGTCAACTTACAGCCTTTGGGACTCTTCAAATTTCATACTGCATTCAAGCCTCAAAGATTACTTATGTCCAGGAAAAAAAAAACAAGCAGCCGGGCGCAGTGGCACACACCTGTAATCCCAGCGGCTTGGGAAGCTGAGGCAGGAGGATAGGAAGTTTGAGGTTAGCAAGTTTGAGGCCAGCCTCTGCAACTTGGCAAGGCCTTAAGCAACATAGTGAGACCCTGTCTCCAAATAAAATATAAAAAAGGGCTGGGGACGTAGCTCAGTGGGTAAACACTCCCGGGTTCAATCCCTGGTATAAAAAGAAAAAAATGTGCTCAGGAGGGAGAGGGAGCAGCCTGGGGATTGGACAGTTGGCGGTGCCACTTAGGAGCTGTGTGACTTCGGGTCACTGGGCCTCAGTCGAGGCTGCTGACGGGAATGGTCAGTGAAGAAAACCCTTGTCAGAGTCAAAGGGGAGGCTGCGCCTGGACAGTGCCTTCGCCATCATCCACTCTGGTGATGGGGACTCCTTCCCGAAGCAGCGGGGAAGGAAGGGGCGGCTGCAGTCCAGGCACGGCTCCTGGCCGGGCCACCAGAGACTCCGCAGTCTCGCAGGCCAGGTTCTCACCAAGCCCTGATGGTGCAATGGGCAGGGCCCCAGCTGGGAACCCCCAGGGCTGGAGGGGGCCAGGAAGGCCTGCCTGCGGGTGACTGGGGACCACGGCCTGCAAAGCACCAAGGGGCCTGGCAGACAAATGACCTGTGGTGGGTGAAAGGTGGCTCCCCAAGAGATGGCCATCTAGACCCCCAAGACCTATCAGTGCATCCCCTGAAAGTACCATCAAGACCCCGAGATGGTCCAGGGTTATCTGGGTGGGCTGTAGCCCAGGAGAGGGATCTGGGACCAAGAAGAAGGCCACGTAAAGACGGGGCAGGGACAGGAGTGGTGCAGGGAGCTGATGGATGCCGGGAACCCAGCAGTGGGCAAAGGCAGGACAGGTCCTCCCCAGAGCCCTTGGAAGCCCTGGCCACACCTTGCTCTTGGATGCCTGCCTGCCTGCCAGCTCTGCGACAGGTGCACGGTGTGGTCTTAGGCCACCTGGCTCACGGCCACCTGTCATGGAGCCCCAGGAGCCCCTGTGCTGCGGATACACGCGTGTGCACACGTGGACGGCCCTGCGTGCAGGACCAGCTGTAGCTCACCATAGGCACGGATGGCGCCACAGCCAACCAGGGAGACCCATGTCGGGGCAGGAAAGGAAGGCCAAGGATGGCCGGAGCTGGGCAGGGGCCCAGGGAGCTTCCTGCAGCGTCCTCAGGGAGGGCGGGGGGGCGGGACCAGCACCAAGGTGGAGCCAGGCCAAGCCCGTGCTGGGCAGTGGGCACACCAGCTCCCGGGCCCTCTCCCCGCAGCAGCTCCCAGCGGCCTACCTTGGAATAGGCCAGGTGTCGGAAAGCCTTGCGGGCCTCCAGGGGCTCCAGGAACTCCACGATGGCAGTGACGCCACCCTCGGGCAGCAGCACGCGGCCCAGGCTCCCAAAACAGCTGAAGGTCTCCTGCAGCTCGGCCGCCAGGGTGCCTGCCGGGAGGTTCTTGGCCAGAATCACAGTCTTGCTTCGTTCTGCTGCCGCCTGCAGGGAGGAGAGGCCACGTGAGGGACGGCAGCAGGGCTCTTCAGCTGGACACTGGCACTGACCTGGTGGCCTCTAGTCAATGTGCACACTTGGGGGCTCAGTGGCCAGGCACCTGGAGGACCCAGGAGGCGCCACCTGCTGCCTCCACAGCCAACAGGCAGCTCTGCTGAGGGTGAAGGCCTAGGGCACCCGGTGAGACCCCCGGGATCGAATCCCAGCCCCAGCTGAGTCACCAGATCCTGACAGTGACTGACCACAGCCCCGATGGACCTCACAGGCGCCCTGCTGCTGGGCAGTAATCGAGATTGGCACCTCAGCATGGAGGGCTCTTCCTGGGACTGCGGACCACCTGTGGACACAGGTGTGGGAAGCAGAATCAGCGAGGAGCCCATGCCCCCAGGAGCAGCCCACCGCCCCCAGGAGCTGGCTGTCCCTGTCCTTGGGAGGGGCAACTCTGAGGTTGAGCTCTTGGTTTGGTTTCAGTCACCACAGGACCCACCCACACCCCCAGCCTCCCCTGGGCCATCCACAGCTCTGGAGCAGCAGCAGTCGACTCCCCAGAGGTGGGGACAGTGGGGCAGCGGGCACCCACCTGGCTGAAAGAGTCCAGGCTGATGCCGTTGTCGATGAGGAAGTGCTGCACTTCTTGGACCAGCGCTGAGTCTCCCAGAGGGCCAGCGCACGGCCACGCTGTCCTTGGTCTTCTGTAGGGAGAGAAGAGGAGGCCAGGCCCGTCAGGCAGAGCCTAGCCACCTGAGCAGGCCCAGTGGGGAGGGGATTCAGGGTGCTGTCACCCACCTGCACTGAGGTGGGGACCACGCTCTGGTGCTACACCAACTCTCTGCCCACCCTCGGGCTCTTCCCTTCCCGCAGTGGGCAGGTCTCTATGAGGCTCCACTTGCACCCTGGGGCTTCTGCAGGCGCTGACCTTGACCCCATTACAGGCAGTCCTTGTTTCTGTCACCTCCCCACCCGCCCACTTTCCTGCCACAGCCCCCCCAAGCCCTCCTCTCTTCCCCTGCCTCCTCTAGGTGGCACTACAAGGCGGGACCCCTGTCCTGGCACTGCTAAGCCCCAGTGCTCAGAGGGCATGGGCGGGGCCTGAGAGGCTGTGGCTGTCCCTCCAACTCAGGCCAGGCTGCCCTCCCCAGCCCAGCAGCCACAAGCCACCACACGACCAGGCACCTGAAGTGTGGCAAGTTCAGATCCAGGTCGTGCTACACACAAAATACAGTGGATTGTTGGAAAGAAGGGAGGAAACACAGTGTGGCTTTTTATGTTGCTCACATCAAAGTGACTAGACTTTGGACGTCAGGTTGAAGACGGTGTCTTGTTAAGATTAATTTTGCCAGTTTCTTTGTATACACGTGTGGCTACTGGGGCGCTCATGATTACACACGGGGCCGGCCCTCTAACTCCAATGGTCAGCGCCGACCCGAGTGCCCTGAGGGAGGGTAAAGACAATGGAGAAAGCAGCTAATGGGCAGAACCAAGGGACGTCCTTTGCCAAGTGGCTGAAAAACACTCCAGGGTTTGCTTGAATCGACCGCAGCAGAGGGCGACCGTGGACAGCATTTGGAAGGAAGTCTGTGGACTCAACGCGCGCAAGACACTCAGGCTCACTCACATGGTCGAACACTTGGCTCTTGGTGGCACTGTACTTCTGTGTGATGGCATCGGCCACGGCATTGGGCCCCATGAACAGCGTGTTCCAGTTGTGGGAACTGAGGGCAGGGGCAGGCAGAATGGGTCAGGCAGGGACCAACAGGCCTCTCGCAGACACCAAAACTGCCAAGAGCCTCGCCGGCCTTCCCCGCCCCCCGCCAGCTCTCCTGGGCAAGCACCCGGCCTGCAGTGAGGCCGCAAACCCAAGCCCTGACAAGTGTCGGCACCTGCTCTGTGCCAGGGACCCAGCCCTTGGTGACACCTCAGAACCTATGCTGACACAGTCCCACTCTCCTGATGTGCAGTGGGGACACTGAGTCCCTGAAGGCCCCACCCTACAGAGGGAAAGGGCCTGGGCGGCAGAGCCTGGATGGACACAGAGGCCACGCAGGGCGGACAAGGACCTGGAGCTGTGGGCTTTGTCCTCAGACGCCTTCTTCTTCTTGTAGGACGAGCCGGGGACGTCTGTGTCCTCACTGGCTTCCTTCCTGATGGTGGAAGGCAGCACATGCAGCATCCTGCCCTGAGGGGACAGAGCAGGAGGTAAGCAGAGCCCCGCCCTCCAGTGTGTCCCCTCTTCATAAGCCAGCTGGACTCAGCACTGAGCCCTGATGGGAGACGGGGACGGCAGGCAGAAAGCCACGTGGTCACTCTCCGTCCAGCTAAGGATGGGGGCACCCGACACAGCCACGCCAAGGGAACTGTACCCCTCTGTGAGCACCCCACGGCCCCCGACTCCCCCAGCAGACCCTGCCAAGGACACTGTGAGCTGCACACGGCGGGGACCAGTCTGGCCCAGTGCCCACAAGACCAATATGCCATGAGCAGATGGATGGAGGAGCACTGGAGGTGGCCTGGCCCGGGCCTGGGCACACCACACAGGGACACTGGGAGAGCAGCAGCTTCCTGGTTCCTCAGGGCCACCCACATACCCCAGCAAGCTCCCCTCTCGCAGCATCGTCCCTTCAAGTAGTTCACTGGAGACAACCACGTGGCAGGCCACCTTGGGTCCTGGGACCCAGAACGTGGACGCGCGCCTGCTCATACAGCTGCCTGGCATGGCCTTCTCTGTTGCCAGGATCAGTGACCTGGTGCCCACAGACCACCTCACCTGGAACACCTGTCAGTCCACGGCCGCGTAGGCCTTCACCGCGTGCTCAGGGAACATGAAGGTGACAAAGGCGAAGCCCTTGGGCTTCCTGGTCAGGCTGTCAATGGGGTACTGGAGCTCTGACAGGGGACCTGAGGACAGGGGAGGCGTCAGCCTGCTGGGGCTGGAGCTGGGCCTGAGCTCAGGGTGAGAAAGGGCCGGGCACTAAGGGGTCGGCCACAGGAACACAGAACAGCTGCTCTGTGCCAGCCACCAGGCCCAAGGTCAAGGGCATCATTTCATAGTCCCTCGTGCCTACTAAGTGGGGGAGGAGGGGCACCTGGCTCCATCCCGCTTCACGTGCAGCCTGCCCTGGACTGGTCACCTCACTCACTCAGGCCTCCTCCTCTTGCCTGTGAATGGCACAACAGTCCCCAAACACAGAGTGGCCTCGAAGGTCCAAGAGTCAGTGTGTGGTTACTACCCAGCACCGGCTACACTTAGTGCCACGGAAGTGTTTGTGACTCTGTCCTACTCAGAGGACACTGTCTGCAGTGGACATTCTGAACACCAGGGTGTGACCACGTCCCCTCTGTGGGTCTTCCTCTTCCCAAATAGGCACTTGGAGCCTATGGACAATCCCCCTCCTGTCCTGCGCAGCACTGTTGTGTGGCCAGGGCACCAGCCTGTGTGGGAGGATCTGGGGAGCAGGACACCATGGCCAGACCTTCAGGTCCCATGTGGGACCTCCATGGACGTCACGCTGTGTCTGATGCTCCACGTCCTGGCCAGCCTCCCAAGAGACAGGGGCTTGGGTAGCACTTCCAGGCAGTGCCCCGTGAGCCACCCCTCCCCACAGACTCTGCCCCGTGTGGCCGAGCGCGACCACAGGCCTGCAAGTTCCCAGTCCAAGAAGTAACAACTGAGGCAAGAACAAAGGGCCCTGGCTGTGGCCTCCTCTCTGAAGTTCGGTTTGGATTGAAGACGAGAAAGGACAGCCTTCCCAGGCAGAGGAGCACTGCGGGTACTGGGGGTTGTGCGGCCGCTGGATCCCAACACCGAGCAGCCAAGGAAGCCCAGGAAAATGCCTCCATCTCTCCAGCTTGGTGCTTGGAGAGAGAGTGAGAATCCCAGCTCTGCGGGCGTTGGGGCTGTGCCTGAAATCCCAGCGGCTTGGGAGGCTGAGGCAGGAGGATCAAGGCCAGCCTCATTGACTTACCAAGACCCCGACTCAAAATAAAAAATGAAAAGGACTGGGATTCAGCTCAGTGGTACAATGCCCCTTGGTCCAATCCCCAGAACCATTAAAAAAGAAAGAAAGAAAGGAGAGAAAAATCCAAGTTCAAATTCAGAGAGCAAAAGATGCCACTGCATCTGCACCAGGGAGGGTCAGCAAGCCCTGTTCTAAGATGAGGAGACCCCAGCTGGGGCCACTGTCCAAGGCCAAGAGCTAGAGGGAGATGGAGGGGGCTGCCCAGTGCCAGGGGCTTCCCAGGATCAGGTCCTACCATAGGTGGAGAAGAGCTTCTCCAGATCCTCCTCGGTGCTCGTGTAGGGCAGGTTATGCACAAAGAGTCTTCCAGAGCTGGCCACGTCCTTCTCCTCCTTGTTCTCCCGGAGTGTCCAGCCTTGCCATGGCTGTGCGCTCTTCTGCAGGGGCCCCTTGGCTATAGGGACTTGCTTCTCCCTGAACACCTTGATGAAGCGCCCACCTGCACGAGCAGAGGGGTCAGGGCTCCGAGGAGGCCCAGACCTTGCCAGAGGCCTGGCTGGTGACCCAGGCCTCTCACTGCTGCCCGCCAGATGCTCCGGCCGAAGAGGGCCACGGCCAGCACCATCCTCCTGGGCCCTATGTGGCCTGCCACGTGGCCTCAGCCCTCGGGAGCCACAGGGACATATCCTCTGGGCTCTGGCCCGCTCTCAGGCACTGCTGGCGGCTCTGTCTTGGGAAAGGCTGCTGTGACAGCCACCCTGGACAATCACCTGCTTGCGCGCCTCCCAAGGGCTCAGGGATCGCCTGCCTCTGCCTGCACCCCAGCACTCAGTCAATACCTTCCGCCTGACTCGCTGGCAGGACTCCTGGGGACCCCTGTCTTCCCCACACACTTGCCCCAGTAGGCGTCCATGCCACAGATGGGTTGAGGACCACGTCCCAGCTCATGAACGGTGCACCTGCTGCACCTCCACCAACCCTGCGCCCTAGGCAGGCCTGCTGCTCACCCCAGGCTGCACGTGCCCCTGAGGCCCAGCGGCCACCCTGGGGAAGACCTGCCTCCTCCTCCCCAGCCCTCACCTCGTACCCTGCCTGCCCGACGCTGTCCCAGGGCCATGTGCCCATCACCTGCTCCAGCACCGCCTGCCTCTGCAGCCTGTTTGCTGTTGGACCCTCAGTGCTCAGAGCGTGTAGCAGGAGGGGACGCTCAGCACATGCACCTAAGCCAGGGCCCACGTGGGAGCCAGGGAGCCCGGGACGCAGCGCCGCGCCTCCTTACCCATGTACTCCCGGTTGCACTTCAGGGCTCTCTTCACCTCCTCTTCGCTGCTGAAATCCATGAAGACGTACCCTGAGAGAGGACCACGACAAGGTAACTGCCAGCTCTGACAACGCTCGGAGTCTGAGGACGTGGGCACCTGGCTAGGTGCAGAAAGCGGGAGCCGCCACGGCACAGGCTGACCCCCACCTGGCCACCCTTTGGAGGAGCACTCAGCACCCGCCTGGCATTGTGGGTGAAGGTGCAAAACCCAGGCCCCTTCTGCCTCCCTCCCAGCCTCACCCCTTCCCTGACCATGTTCTGCAGAGAAGAAATGCTCATGATGGCCGATGTAACCCAGCCCAGCACTGGAGGGTCACCTCTACATCACCCTGCAGGTAGCTGTGGGTGACTACACAGCAACAAGCAGGTGCAGAGGCCTCCACAGCCTCAACCTCACTGGGCCTTGACCCGTGTAGCCGCCAAGCAGCATCCCATCTACACCACCACAGTCTCCCCCAGCCTCCACCACCAGCCCACACAAGCAAAAGCCTCTACTACCTCCGAATGCCAGCGGCCCTCCCTGCACTGGCCAGCGGGCCTTTCTAAACCCCAGGCTGTCCTGCCTGGTCTCTGAGGTGCCATGAACCAGTGGCCCCACCACCAGCACCAACACCGACAGCTGCACTCTGAGAGAGCCCAGTGCTCACAAAGTCCAGGGCTGACCCTGACCCCTCCTAGCTGGACAACAGGTCTGACCCCTTGTGCATACGAGGAAAGGAGGCTGAGTTCCAGTCCCAGGTCACAGGGCTCCTAAGTGGCTGGCTGGGCTGTGAACCTGGGCAGGGGTTCTGTCCCCTGCCCTCACACGGCCCTCTGCTGAGCTCCAGGAAATGGCTGCCTGAACCATCATCCTGGTGAGCTGGGCGGGAGAGCAGGGGAGGGACGAGACGCGACACAGCAAGGGCACTGGACCACCCCGACGCAGGAGCACCTTTCTCCTTGGGTGCCAGCTCGGCCAGACCTGACCACTCTGCCGAGTTGGCCTCTTCCTGTCAAGACACTCCCAACCCCAGGGTCCAGATACCCAGTGGCCACAGAGCCTTAGTATGGTTCTCTGAGATGTGGATATTCTGCCACTGGTCTCCTATGGCTTTCTGGCCTAGCTGGCCACTGGGCTGGGCAGATGCCCACCTCTCCCAGATCCACCTTCCTTCCAGCCATGCTCACTGCCTCCAGGCAGCCAGACCCAGGGCTCCAAGGCCAGGGGAGGAGGCTCACAGCCCGGAGCGGACACCTGGGGAGATATGGTCTGGGGCAACACCTCGCATGTGCAGAGAGGTAGGGGACTGCCCACCCGCAGAGCCGCCCAGGGTTAAAGCTGGCTTTTCTTACTTCTCTTTAAAGCACGGATATTTGTCTACGTTAATCACAGTGACAAACCTAAAGTTCCATTGTAGGGAGCCCTCCAACCTTCTTAACTACTCCCTTCTCTGGACATGTGTGAGATTTAAACACATTTTTAAAAATATGTGAACATTCAGGGTATAAAATTATAACAAATACTAAAAAATACAAATCAGGAGACCAAACTGGTTCCTAATTCCGAGGCCAGCTCACTCTTCCTGGCTCCTTCTGCAAAACAAAAGCAGCAGATCCATTTCCCATCTGGGCACTGGGGGAAGCCCCTGAGGCCCCCGCCTGGACGTAGCTTGTCCTACAAGGTGACAGAAGGACAGAAGGACACATCAGGGTGCTCCAGGGCAGTGGAAGAAGCCCAGCCAAGTTCTGAGCTTTCGCGTTACTGCATCCAAGTTTGCAATTACCAGATTCTTTCCAAACCTTCCCCTGCCCAGAGGAAAGCCAGCATGGTGGGTCACACACAGCTAGGTTCCTCTGGGGATGAAGCCATGTCCTGCTCCACACCTGGCCTTTTCTACTGGCCGCGGCACCTTGGGGGTCTCCCCTGTCATCATGTTCTTTTCTGTGATACGTCATCTTACACCATTTTCACGTGTCCCTGTGAGTTAACCCAAGTTTAACCTGTCACTGGTGACATTTTGGGCTAGTGACTCTTTGTTGAGGGGGCTGTCCTGTGTCTGGCAGGGCTCAGGCAGCACACCTGGTCTCTGTTCACTAGAGGCCAGCAGCCCCCCACAGATGCTCCCATCAAGAGCACTTCTGACCAAGGCCAGATGTTGTGCAGGGGTAGACCACTCCCCTCCAAAACCACGGACACACCACTTCCCCAGAAATGGAGCTTCAGGGTTGATTTGGGTTTTTGTTCTTATCAATGACTGCAAATCAACACGTTGAGTTATAAATAATAACAGGAAGGCTGCAAGAACGTTCCCGCATCCAGGCTCTGGTGTGCCGGGATTCACCTGGGGGAAAGCCCTGGCCAGGCACCAGCTCCGCAAAGGCCTGGATGTCCGTAAAATTGCCCGGAGCTCCACGCGGCCCTCTAAAAGGCAAGAAAATGTTTATTGCCAAACATGAACGATGCGTACCATTTTGGCAAGTGAAAAGTGTGAACTCCAGTTTTGATTTTGTTTTTTGATAATCATGACAGAATCCAAATATGTGCACTGGCCACCAGAGTTCTTGTTCTTTGAAAACCTTCTGTTCTTTGTGTTATTTTTCTGTGGGGTCATAAATCCTTCATAAAAATCTCTGTAAATTAGAGAAACTAGACTCCTGCCTCTGTTAGGCTATGAACCACTGTGACTTCACGACAGCTGCTGCCTTCCAGAGCTTTGGGCTGGTAAGTAGGTAGGTAATCAACCCATTTTTTTTTCTTTTTTCCCACGAAACTTTACAAATTGCTTAGAAAGAAACTTTTTCAGCTCAAATCCTTGATGTATCTGAACCTGATTTTATCAGGAGGAGTAAGGCAAGGGTTCATCTTTTCTTCAAAAACAGTTAACTACGCCAGGCACAGTGGGCAGGCCAGTAATCCCAGTGGCTCTGGAGAATGAGGTAGGAGGATCACAAGCTCAAAGCCAGCCTCAGAGACTTAGTGAGACCCTGTCTCAAAACATAAAAAGGGATAAGGATGTGGCTCAGTAGTTACATGCCTTGGGGTTCAATACTGATACCCCCCCCCAAAAAAAAAAACTGACCCCTAATCACAAGGAATTGCTTCAGTATCTCTAACAGCATAAATTGTAAGTAGCTCCCACGTCAACTTTAAGAGATCAGGAAAGTTTACCAAAGCATCTCCTGAGGAAGGAAGACTACACAACAAGGCAGTGGTGGGCACCAAGCAGGGTCCTGCTGCAGGGACGCTGCAAACCAAAATGGGAATGAGAAACCAGACCAGTGTCAGTGCACAGGAAAAAGCATCTAAGAAGGCATGTCCCCAAAGTACCAGTGGTTGCCACTGAGTGGGACACAGGAATGCTGAGCAGGGTTGCCCACTGTGCCAAGGACAGTTGGCACCTCCAGCTCTAGTCCTTAGACCTGCAGTAACTGTACTGCACCCTGGCACCCCACCTGGCTATACCCCAGCTCGCAGGTCAGTGTGGATGGTAACCCACGTGGTCATCCCAATTGTAGGTGACTTTTACATTCTAGTCACGTAGCTGTGTCCTTTAGAATTTCCTGTAGTGAGCTTCTCTGACCATCACAGGAGGGAAATGAAGACAGGTTCCTCTGCTGGCGCAGACCTAGAGCCGGATAGCTGCAGCCCATGCTCCGTCTGGCCTGCAGCCTGTTTCTGGAAACAGTGTTGAGCTGGGCTGCAGCAATACCTACGCCCTCACCTGTGTCCGAGACGGCTGCCCCTATGGGAGCAGGGTGAGCGCTCCCAACAGAGACCACACTGACCACTTGGCCTTTCCCAGGCCCCAAGCCGTTTTATTTAGCTGTAGGCAGCCATCTCTTTCCTTCCCTGAAGTCATCTGTCAGCCCTCTGGGCCTCATATTCCTTCTTGCTCTAGACACTAAGGTACTAATGGCCTCAGGCAACAGAAGCTCCCCTCCCACCCCCTTCTGCGCCTGCAGGTGATCTTCCCGTCCTCAGAGCACCTACCTCTGTGACACTGAACGGGGCTCCCCATAGGTTCACGGTGTGGGCCATGGTGGGTTCCTTCTGGTTTGCTGGTTTCTCTGTCTGAACAAAGAGAAACGACCACAGTGGATTCCCTGGGGCAGTGGTGGCAGGGGACAGACTGGGACATGGCAGCTCTAGGAGTGGAGGCTATGGGGTAGCACGAGAGTGCCGCATCTGTGCCCGCCACGGGCTCAGGGTCCAGGCACAGGTGGAGGTGGCATCTGTGGGGTCTGCATTTGCCTCTGAGGGCTGTAGCCAGGGCTCAGGGCACCATGGCTGGGCGAGCAGCGCCCCAGGCCATCAAAGGCCAGGGGAGATGGGAGGAGCCCCAGGGCAGAGACCTTGCTACCACTCATGTCTGCTTGTCTGGTGACATACAGGTGCTGCGAGGAGGTCCCTTCCGGATGAGGATCAGAGAGGCCTGTGGGGCTGCAGCACCCTCGGGCCCAGCAGTCAGACAGGGTCAGAGCTGAGAGCTGAACCCCTCACCCTCTGACTTCCATGGACAGGGACAGGGTGGGCATTAGAAAGGAGGGCGGAGAAGAGCAAGGGGAAGAGGAGACGGCAGTCGGAGCCCCTTCCTCTTGTTGGAGCTTCCAACGAAGGAACTGGGACGCATGCCCTGTGTCTGGCGGACAGGACTCCAGGTGGGAGTCGCGTCCACCTTTACAATCTCAACTTCATAGCCTGGCAGACCCGGGCCTGGGGCCTGACCTGTCACTTCCCTTCTCTGGGCCTCAGTTTTCTTACCTATAAAATGGAGGCAGGAGAACGCCTGCCAAGCGACTGTGATGGCATCCAGTGATAGCAGGCTTGTCCATCAACGAGGAGCCCACCCACACCTGCCTGCCTTGTGACTGAACACCAAGTAACCCAGCCATCACCACCTCACTTGTGCCCAGAGCCCCGGCAGGCCACCCCTCCCGTGTAGCAGGCAATGAGCCCAGAGGATCAGGGAGTGCGTGGCGGGTTGCTGGGCTCTCCTCCGAGTCACACCCCCAGCTGTGGGGCCACACCCCCAGACAGGCACACAATCCCCGCTGTCCCTCCTGCAGGCACGTACCCGGGCTCAGGGCTCCTGCGGCCTCCCCCTCCCAGGCAGGGTCCCTGGGCTCCCTTGCTCCTTGGTCGGGGGCAGCAGGGGATTCCTCTTCCTCGCTGCCTCTGTCACAGTTTACAGCTTCGTTCTCACTTTCTTCCTCCTCTGAGGAAGAGGACTCGGCTGCCACCATCTTGGATTCAGGTACTCCATGTCTGACAGCCCCCGCTGGGCAGCTGCCTTAGCTTCCAGGCCTTGCTCTGCTGAGAGGGCAGGGGGCGGGGAGGAGGTCACCCTCCTGAGCAGCCAGAGACTCGGGCAGCACAGGGCTGGAAACCTGAGGGGTGGCCTGAGGCCACATCACCACAATCAGGGCCCTGGTGCCCAGCGGCCCAATAAACCCTCTGATGGGCACCGCGAGAGGGTGAAGCTCCCGCGCCACACACACAGCTCCATGGCTCCCTGCCGCCTGCCAGGCTCTCCTCTGGATGGCTCCTCCCAGTCATCAGTCACCTTCCTGATTGTGTCAAGTACACTAAGGGGCTTCATGTGCCACAGAAAGCACTTACACAGCAGAACCATTTCTACAGTGAACACTTTACGGCACCCACCCATCATCTCATAGGGCCACCCACATAACCCGGGTGGGAGCCACGCTCCATCATCTACTTAGGCAGCAAACACCCCAAACATTAGGACCTCACCCCAGCCCAGCTCCAGTGCTGGGCCCCTAGCTTCCTCACCTGCTCTCTGCTACCCTGCAGGAAGCACGCAGGTGTGAACGGCTTACGGGGACACCTGGTGATATGCTGGCTCTTGAGGGGTGCTACAGAGACAGCCGGGAGGGAGGAGTGTGCCTGCTCGGCTGTCACGACTGTCCTTCTAGCCTCACACCCCCACCCGTGACTTCTGGACACTGAGGATGGAGCCCCAGCCCCTCCACTCCAGGCCTGTGCGAGCTCCTTGGGCCCCACCCTCCCTGCCCCAGTGCCCAGAGCCAGTCTGCCCTGCAGCCACATGCTCCCCTGTCCTGAGCCCCTGTGATGCTGTGCCCTGGTCTGCGACCCCCTCTCTGCCCCCGGCTATGTGTCCCACCACATCCCACAAATCCTCCAGATTGCAGCTTAGCACAGAAAGCCTGCCAGGTGCACAGGTAACACTACGTTCACATCCTCTGCCCCCAGCCAGCCTGACCAACCCCCAACCAGAGCTGCCACCCCATACTGCAGCTGGTCACTGGCCACCAGCTGCCCCAGCACGCTGAGCCTGAGAGGACAAAGGCTCACCCACCCCGCAAGGCCTTCCCTGGCAGCTCCCTCCCAAGCTCTCCTGCTTCCTCTCCATAGCAGCTGTGACCCCATGACGCGTCCCTGGGTGCTCATCTGTTTACTCCTCTCCTCTCACCACAATGACAGCTGACAGCGCCAAGGGGCAGGATTCCTGTCTACGGCTCAGCGCTACATCCCCAGAGCCCAGCATGCAGCATGCAATCGGTGAACACTGCCGACTGACAAGCACGTGACCAGGACTAGTCATGGCAGACCTGTCTGCAGGTGACCTCATCCCCCCACTAGAAAGCTCCCGAGCCATGTGTGGACAGCCCCAGGCCTGGTGTCTGAGGGAGGGGCAGCCAGTGCCTGCCAGCAGGTGTTGGTGGGCCACAGGGCTGCAGCTGAGGGACACAGGCTCAAAGGCACAGTGCCCAAGCCTCACCTACCAGCTCCTCCTCAGCAGCCTCCTCCTCACACTCCTGCCCAGAATCGGAGTCAAAGTTCAGGTAGTCACTGGTTGGCTTGCTCTTCCCTATTGGGGGCTCAGTGTCCAGGGCATCATTTGCCCAAGTGGCCACCTGTGTCCACTTCTGGTGAACCGACAGGAACTCCTGGAACTAGGTGTCTTCCTTCAGCTGGGGGCACTGGAGGTGGGCAGCAGGGACAGAGGAGAAGAGGCAGAGAGGACTCAGTGGGGCTTAGCCCTCCGAACTCCCAGCAGGGCGAGCAACTTCCCCATCTCTGGTGGACCCCGAGTCCACAGGGACACGGCAGGACACTCGAGGTGTGGGCTCTGCTTTCTGGACCAGCCTGCACCCCTCCGACCGGCTACCCCCGCCCTCTCGGTCAACAGGACAGACTCACCTGCTCCAGTTCACGTGGGGCCTTTTTCTCCTTATCATCCTAAAAACAGAGGCAGAGGATGAGGGCCACACGGGAGGGGGAATGCAGATGGAACTGCAGACCCCTCCACAGCCACCACCTGCCCACACAGGCCCGGTGCCGGTGCAGTCACCTGAATACCTTCTTAATTTCCGGGGTGACAGAGCCTTGTGAGGGCTGCTCGGGCTGCCTTGGTCTCTGGGCATGTTTGTTCCAGGCTCGGGGCTCAAGTCCCAAAGGACTTGCAGAACTCTACCTGCATGAGAAAGGGTGATTGTCACACCTGCTGTGACAGCCACAGTCCTGAGGGTCCCGCCCTTCAGCACCTGGGAACCTGGGCTTTACAGACAGGCAGCTGCCACTAGTAGAGCAGAAGCAGAGGACTACCACCCCGCCTTGGCTTTGTCCTCCACGAAGGCACCACACTAGCTACCATCTACTGGGGAGTTCCACGCAGCACCCGAGTGCTCCACAAGGACCGTGGACACGCTGAGCCTCCTGACAGCGGGCAGTGAAGCCACAGCTTTCCCCAATTCAAGACTAGAAAACTAGAGCACAGAGATGTGAAGCAACTTGCCCCAGGTAACCCAGGTCCTCAGGGACAGAGACTGGGGACTCAGGACCATCCATGCCAAATGGTGGCTCTGAGGACAGAATGAGGTGATGTAGGCCAGTGATCAGCAACGGCAGGTGCAGGGGACACCCATGCTCCTGGGATCACTGGTGACCACGAGGCAAGCTCCGCTGGTCTGGGAGAACCTCCTAGGTAACAGGAGACAGGGTGGCCCCGGGGCCAGGAGTGTGCTGAGGATGAAGCCTGAGCCAGACCTCTCCAGACCAAAGCCTCCAACGCACTCTCAGAGGTGACCCTGGTGAGGGCCGGTCCTGCTGGGAGCCCGGAGTGACAACTCCCAGACAGTTAAGGATGCCCTGGTCACCAACCACCCTCCCCAAAGAAAGAGCCTGCCATTTGGTCACATCCTGGCTGCGTGGACTTCCACAGCAGTCCCTTAAGTCTATGATGAAGGTCAAAAGGCTGTGACTCCAACTCCTGTCACCAAAGATGAACCACCACGCCTGGTGACCCCGCAGGCCACCACGCCCACACCACACAGAGCGAGAGGTGAGGCTGTCTCTCGCCTCAGCTCTATGCTGCTCCATCTTGGATTTTCCCTTCTCAGCAAAGGGCTGGGGACGTTTTATCATGTCAATGAACACCTGTGGGTGACCCTTGTGGGACCTCCTCCTCCAAGAAACTTTCCTGACCCCTCCCTGGCCAGGGTGGGCCCTGCTCAGTTCTCCCAGGGTCCCTGACCCAGTGACCACCCTGAACTCAGCACCTGCGTCTGTCAGTGCTCCTGAGGACAGGGACCACCAGTGGGTCCTGAGCGCCTGCTGTTGGGCAGTGAAGGACACACACCTGTGGCTCAAGTGCCCTCCTGGCCAGCAGCACAGGTGCCACCGAGGCTCCAGAAGGCCTGTTCTTCTGCGTGACTCCCGCACTGAGCCAGAGCCCATGGCGGGCCCAGCAGCAGTCTGACTGGCTTCCAGGAGAGTCTTACACAGAGAAGAGCAGGAACCGCTGAGGAAGGCCAAAGGCCTCAGGGCCTAAAAAGGACAGCATTGGGACCCAAGTGTCGCTGACAGGTGGAGCGGTGGGTGACACTCTGGACAGGCAGGCAGGGCCCACTCACTGTGATCCGGGATGTGTCGATAAAACTCTTGTTGAAGTGGTTCAGCGCAGCCTGGGCCTCCTCCTCGGACTTGAAGCCGATGAAGCCAAACTTGCCAACTTTGGTGAACTTGAGGCTGCAGTCGGTCAGCGCACCGAAGGCGATGAAGAGCTGCCTGAACTGCTCCTCCTTCACCTGGAACAGAAGATGGGAGGAGCTGGAGAGTCCTTCAGCAAAGGGACAAATGGCTAGAAACCCGGGGCTCCAGGACTCTAGGGGCGACAGAGAGGAGGAGGTGGCAGTGTGCTGTGCCAGTCAGGCCAGGTCGATGAAAGAACGAACAAGGCTCGTTGTTGGAGAAAATGCCCGTTTATTGAGGAACAGCTCTGCATATTTATAGAGCCAGGGGTGGTTTGACAGTTATGATAGTTTAACGGTTGAAGGGTTTGACAGTTGGCATGGGGTGCTTTCTGATTGGTGGGTAAGATCATGTGAGCCAGCAGGGCTCACCATTGAACGGCTCTTCTAGGGGATGGGGAAGTTTTTTTTGGAGTCCCAATGACTCCCAACAGTCCAGGCTCTGACACTGGAGCCATGCCCTCAGGCAAGCCCTCCTCATGTCACTGGTGAAGAAATGAGACTCACGAGGGCCACAGGATGTCTCGGTGCTCTGTGTGGCTGCTACAAGGTTAGGACCAAGGACAGATTCATCATCATGCCGCTGCCCAGTAGCCACTTCAGAAGGCTGGGCAGAAAGAGTGCCAGATGGAGTATGCACGCTCTGTTGTTTACAGCCTCCCAAGGATGCCCGCACCCTAGCCCCCCAGACACTGGTTACACACCAGTCATGGCACACGGGATTTTCCATGTGATTCGATTAGGAAACCTGAGATGGGGAGAGGACCCTGCATTACCCAGGTCCTAAGTAATCAGGAAGATCAGAGTCAGAGAAGGAGATGTAATGAGGGAAACAGAGGGAGAGAAACCGGAAGATGCTCCGCAGCACTCTGCAGACTGAAGTTGAAGGGTGTGGCCTGGAGCCACGCGGGGCAGGCAGCCTCCAGAAGCTGAAAAAGTGAAGGAACAGATTCTCCCCTGCAGCCTTCAGAAGGATGGCAGCCCTGCTGACACCTTAAGATCTCTGACCTCCAAAACTGTGGGAATCAATACGCACTGGATCACCTCAGGAAGTGTGGCCACCTGTTATGGCAGCCATGGAAATGTGACAGAACTTGGTCCCACAATCCCCAAGGCCCCAGGACCACCCTCACAGCTCAGCGACTTTTCCCAGAAGAGGAGATTCAAGTGTCTGGTAGGGGGTCCAAGGGGCACCGGGGCAGCCACAAACAACCAAACAAGCTTGAAGTAAGAGGAACCCATAGGCGTTGGCTGCCCAGCAGGAAGAAATCTCCAGAGGAGCTGGATAATAACTCCGAGCTCATCCAAATCTCACAATCAGCAAGTTAGGGACTTTTATGCACATTTTAGAGAGGAGAAAATGGGATCCTCAGAGGATAAATGACCTGCCCAAGGTCTACAGAATCGAGAGCTCTGTCAGCTCAGATTACAAAAGTGAACTCGCGCCCCCACTGCACGGGGACACCTCACTGAGGTCTGACCCATCATTCTGCTGCTGCGGTGACCGCGGAGCACCCCTTCACTCTCAGGGCGCTCCTCTGCCGCCTCCCATAGGAAGCCTCTCCGAGACCCTGCAGCTTCCGCAAGGATGGCAGCCCTGCTGACCCTGCGGGTCAGTAACCAAAGCCCCCTGTGCTCCCACAGCACGGGCTCACACTTCAATCCCTGCATCTTGATCTGTTTCCCCTGCAAACTCCATGAAAGCAGGGACCAAGTCTTGTCCACTTCGGTCTACACTGTCAGCAACCCCAGAAGTACTCAGGACCCAATGTTTATCTGTTGGAAGATAATTAAGACAAGGGCATGCAATCATGCTAAGCGAGACGGGAGGAGCACTGGTCAGAACTGCTCATTCCAGACAGACACCTCAATTCTGTCACTGTTGTATAAGTTATCACACGTGAGTGACTTCAGGCCGATAACTTTACCTTGATGTGCCCTGGTTTCTTCACTTTTAAAATGGGTATAGAAGCCGACTTGCAGGGTTGTGTGAGGAGTAAATGAATTACTTCACCTAACACATCTGAACAGCGCCTAGCACACAGTAAACTCTCCGAGGGCTCACTACTATTGTTAATGCTTGTTGTTAATTCTTTCATTCATCAGGCAAGATGAACGATGAAAACATCTCTAGCAATTAGAGAAATGCAAATCAAAACTACTCTAAGACTTCCAAAACTACTCACATCCTCCAGTCACAATGGCTGCTATTAAGAATACAAACAACAATAAGTGTTGGCGAGGATGTGTGGGGAAAGGCACACTCATACATTGCTGGTGGAACTGCAAATTGGTGCAGCCAATATGGAAAGCAGTGTGGACACTCCTTGGAAAACTTGGAATGGAACCACTATTTGACCCAGCTATCACACTCCTTGGTCTATACCCAAAGGACTTAAAAACAACATACTACAGGGACACAGCCACATCAATGTTTATAGCAACACAATTCACAATAATAATAATAAACTGTGGAACCAATCTAGATGCCCTTCAATAGATGAACAGATAAAGAAAATGTGTTATATATACGCAATGGAATATTACCCAGCAATAAAAGAGAATAAAATCATGGCATTTACAGGAAAATGGATGGAGTTGGAGAATATCATGCTAAGTGAAGTTAGCCAATTCAAAAAAAAAAAAAAAAAAAGCCAAATGTTTTCTCTGATATAAGGCCGCTGATTCATAGTGGAGTAGGGAGGGGGAGCATGGGAGGATTAGATGAACTCTAGATAGGGCAAAGGGGTGCGAGGGGAAGGGAGGGGTCATGGGGTTAGAAATGATGGTGGAATGTGATGGACACCATTATATAAAATACAGGTACGAAGACACCAATGATGTGAATATACTTTGTACACAACCAGAGATGTAAAAAATTGTGCTCTATATGTGTAATATGAATTGTAATGCATTCTGCTGTCCATGCAACAAATTAGAATAAAAAGATGAACAATGGGAGAAGAAGCCACACTGAGATGCAAAATGAAACTAGGAGGGAAAAGAAGGGTGGCCATGCTGAAACTCTCATCCAACTAAGTGAAGCATCAGGAGACACTGTTTAGAGCTAATGGATGGCTGGGAGCCGGCACACACCTGTAATCCCAGCGGCATGGAAGGCTGAGGCAGGAGAATCCAGAGTTCAAAGCTAGCCTCAGCAATTCAGTGAGGCGCTAAGCAACTCAGTGGGACCCTGTCTCTAAATGAAATACAAAATAGGGCTGGGGATGGGGCTCAGTGGCTGAGTGCCCCTGAGTTCAATTCCTGGTACCAACAGCTGGTACCAAAAAGCTGATAGATGGATCAGTAATACATATCTTAAAAGTATACCACTTCAGGTAAAGAGCAGGATAGTTAAAAACAAGAATATTTAGAAGAATCGATTATGTAAAGTCCTCATCTTTCATAGTAGAGGGAATCAGCAGATGGTCCCTGGGATAAACTATAGGGGTGAGCAAAGTACCTGGGTATGTAGAAAACCCTCTGGGGAATCCTTCTAAAAACAAACCATCTCTCAGAGAGATGGAGAATAGGATGTAGCAAAAAGAATTTGCTTCTCATTTTACATATCACGGTCCAGTTTTGATTTTTTAAATTGTGTGGCATAAATGCCTCCCACATGACAGAGAAAAAAACAAAACTAAAAAAAAAGAAAAAAAGAAAAACCACACAATAAAAACGAAACAGCTCCTAACATTCTCTGTCTAGGGAAAGAGACACCCGAGGATGGAGGCAGGAGTTCAGAAGACACTCTCACACCATCCAAAAGGCTGGCTTGGTAGTTGGGGCATGCTTTCCTGGCCACACCGGTGGCGTGGGTGCTCTCTATCCAAGAAAAACGACAATGAAACAGGAACAACGACCCACTTGGGTACACCGCAGCGGGAAACATCACCACAACCATCCACCAGCTTCTTCACTCACTAATCAGGCGCGATTTCCCTGGGAGCCTACCACGGGCTGGGTTCTGTGCTAGGCGCGGATAAAGGGCTTAAAGGGTCCCATTTTTCAGATTCCCAACACCAGGCTCTCTCCTCACCCCATTCGGGAGGTTCTTCACGATCAGTCGCGACATGGCACCAGGTCCCTCTGTTGTAATTCCAGCACCTCTGGACAGCGACTGCCCTGGACAACTTTCATGCTGCAGCCCTGGGCGCGCCATCTACAGAAAGCTAGAATAAAGTCACGTGGCCCCGCTCTCTGCCCGCCCACAGGGAAGAAGGCGTGGCCAAAGCCGCACCTGCCCGAGGAGGTCACACCCCTAAGAGGCGGGCCTGAGTGCTTGCATTCTGCGCAGGCGCAGGTTCTGAAGTGGCTCCGGGAGAGCGCAATGCCCCGGTCCTGTCGGCAGGGGGCGCCAGATTCCAACCTCTGCTTGGGGTTGCACGGGATCTGCTCTACTTGGAGCTGTAAGCAGGGGATGTGGTTTTGTATCCCTTTCTTATTGTACTTTACCATGGATTCCTAAGACAGCCCTGAGAATGGGGGCTAGACTAGGGATCCCTGCCTCCCTTTGGGAGGTGGAGAAACAGCCTTACTAAGCACTGCAGGGTCACTGGTAGAATGTGCATTTTGGGAACAGTCCCATTTTGCAGGCAGGACATGGGGACCTGAGGAGTGAAGCTACTACACAGAAAATCCGAGATTTGGTTGTGATTGTCGTTGACAGCTTTATCGAGGTACAATCCACTTCCTACAATTCACCCACTTAACATGTACAACTCAATGGTCTTCAGTATATTTGCCAAGTTTTGTAGCCACCACCATCACTGTCAATATTAAAATGTCTGTATCCCCTCCCCCCAGAGGAAACCTGCACCCCTTAGTTGTCCCAGGCCAATTCCTTCTACCTCCAGGCCCTGGCAACCACGGATCGACTTTCTGTCTCTCTGGAGTTGCCCCCTCTGGACTTTCCATGCAAATGGAATCAGGCAACACTGGACACAAAACCACATCCCCTGCTTAGCGCTCCAAGTAGAGCAGATCCCGCCCAACCCCCCCCCCCCGCACAGGGGGGGTTGTGACTGGCTTCCTTCATTTAGCATCCTGCTTTTGAGGTTCATCTGCGAGCAAGGTGCTCCCTCCAGTGCCTGCTGGATAATATCTCATGGGCAGATAAAGAACATTTCATCACCCAGTCCTCTGCTAATGGACATCTGGGCTGTTTCCACCTGTGGCTATTGTGGATAACACTGCCATGAGCTTTCAAGTGTTTGTGTGCAAGTGTGTCTTCGTTTCTCAGGGGTGTATTCCTGGGAGGGGCATTGCTGAGCCACACAGCAGCTGCACCTGTGACCTCCCTATCAGTGGCATTTGAAGGTTCCCGTTTCCCCATCTCTTCTCACGCTTCTTACTAGGTCTCCACCCATTCTGGCCACCTTAGTGGGGGTAAAGCCACGTCTCGCTGTGGTTTGGGTTTGCAGGTCCCTGTTGGCTCCTGTTCTTGAGCATCTATTTGTGAACTTTGGGCCATGTGTGTATCTTTCTGAAGCAACCCCTGTCCCCATTCTCCAAGACCAGCTCAGATGCAGTGTCCTTGAACCCATCTCTTCCTCCCTGAGTTCCAGATGCACGGAGCTCATGCGTCTACCCTAGCACAAGCACACAGACGTCACTACCAGGAACATACTTAGCAGATTCCAGGGTACACATGGGACCACATGATCTTCCCACCTCAAGGTGCCCAAGGGGCCCGAGCAGATCTGTCTTTGCAAAATGCTTCAGCAGGCACCAGGAGAAGGTGTCCCTTCCAAAGATACCTCCTCATCCTGGCCCCTGGCACCTGTAACTGTCACCTTGTTTGGAAGAAGAGTCTTTGCCCATGTGATGAAGGATCTCAAAATGAGAGGGTCCTGTGTCATCGGAATGGATGTTGATCTAGTGACAAGTGTCCCTATGAGAGACACAAGAAGTCAGTCGTGCAAAGACAGAAGAAGAGGTATGGGAGTCCCAGAAGCGTATGGGAGTCCCCTGCCCCGTCCTGTTTCCCTCCTACTTCCTGTTTCCTCTTGTGGCCTCACATAGGCTGAGACAGCCGGAGACCCGAGACATGGTCAGAGCGCCAGGCGCACACAGGTAGCTCGTGGGTGCAGAGCAGGGTGGAGGAGCAAATCAGTGCTTGGGAGACTGACCACTAGAGAGTGACCAGCACCCAAGATGGCCTTGATGCCAAGTGCTAACTAGTGAGTGACAAATGCTGTCACTCGGGTGGACAGAGGAGCACAAGGTGCAGTCCCCCCCCCCCCGTTCCCACCGTTCCTGTGAACTAGGGCCACCGTGCACTTAGGAACAGTCCTTGGTGGGTGGAAGTCGGGAGGTCAGTTCCTCCTTCGACCCATGAGGGCACATCTGCCCCTCCCCTCCTTTCTGGGTGACCTTTGGTGTGGCCCAGGTGGTGGGTGCATCGCCCCATCTCAGCCTTGTCTTGTGCTCACAGAAGCCCCATTGGGATGGTGGTTACTTTGGCTAGCGCGGTCCTAATGAGCACATTTTAACCTGACAATCCAGTCTCCAAATGGAGTCACCACCAGGGGTTCTAGAAGGAGGGACTCTGCCCTGTGAATTTGGGAGGAGACCAGGAAGCAGGTGTGTGGCTGGAGGGACACACCCTTCATACTAAGAAACCTTTTTTTTTTTTAATTTTTTTTTCACTCCAAGCCCCCAAAGACAGCACGCACAGCCATGTGGCAGCCACACCGTCTCTGTGTCTTTAAGTGAAAGGACTGTGGGGCCCACTGGTTCCCTGGAGCTACTGTAACAAATTACCTGAAACCAGGCAGCTTAAAATAACAGAAATTGTTCTCTGGCAGTTCTGGAGGCCAGGAATCCCAAAATGACGCTGTGGGCACAGCCACACTGTCTGAAGGCTCTAGGGGAGGGCCCTCCCTCGCCTCTTCCAGCCTCTTGGACCCAGGGTTCCTTGGCTTGTGACTGCATGGCTCCAGGCCCTGTGTCTGTCTTCTTGTGGCCCCTCCTCTCTGATGTCTGAGTCCACCCTACGTCCCTCCTCACCTCTGATGACACACCTGCCACTGGGCTGAGGATTCTTTAAATCCAGGATGATCTCACCTCAAGACCCTCAGTTAGTCTGGATGCAGTGGCTCATGCCTGTCATCCCAGTGGCTTGGGAGGCTGAGGCAGGAGGATTGTGAGTTCAAAGCCAGCCTCAACCAAAGCTATGCCCTGAGCAATTCAGTGAGACCCTGTCTCTAAATAAAATACAGAATAGGGCTGGGGATGGGGCTCAGTGGTCAAGTGCCCCTGAGTTCAATTCCCGGTACCAAAAAACAAAAACAAACAAAAAAAAAAAACCCTCAATTACATCTGCAAAGCCCTTTTTCCAAGTAGGGTGACGTCATCAGTCTGGGGATTAGGGTTGGGGAAGGCCAGACCTCACCCTGCCTCTGACCTCCGTGGATGCCTGTTCAGTTAAAACTCACACGCATAACAACGCACCCTCCACAACCCATGCTAGACAACAAGTATCTACTTCAAAACAGCCAGAGAGAGGATTTTACATGTTCCCAACACCAAGAAATGATAAATGTCTGAGGTGGTACCTAAGCCAGTTATCTGATGGTGACCCCCTCAAAAAGCAAAATTGTCATGAGTTAATTAATTTTTGTTCAAATTTAAAAACATACCCTCCACCCTGGAAATGACGTGGGGGGACCTTGTTTTGAGATCGTTCATTTATTCAACAACTATTTCTAATTATTGATGTCCTTAATTAAATGACCATGGGGGTGGGGGGTTCTGTGCCCGTGGCCCTGTCAGGATGCCTTTTGGGGGTGGCTTCGAGGCATGAGCCTTGGATGAGAGGTCAGATGGGGGCTGCCCACCGGCCCTGGCTGGCTTCATAAGTTTTTTTATGATCCTCATGAATGGCCTTTATTAAAACCTACGACTAAATATAGCCTTCCCCAAAGACATTCGCAAATCAGAAGGTGTTTGAAAGGTATTAAAAGAAAATGGAATGCTCTTACGGATCTCCACGTCCACAGGCCTGCCCGGA